TACGGGGTCGAGGTCAACGGCGCCGACGACCAGGAGCTGCTCGCCACCCGTCGCCAGGCCCTGTCCTACCTGGCGCCCGCGACGAGGGGTGCGAGCCTGCGCGCCAAGCTGGCCTTGCACGGTGAGCCCGCGGCGCGTGAGGCCATGGCACCCGCGCTCCAGTGGTCTAAGATGATATGGCATGCTGTGGCTTTCCCGTCTGATGCACTCGTAGGCCTAACCGAATTAGAACGTATGTGGGACCGCGTTTTTTCCCAGGCTCCGTCGGATGTGTCCTGGGCCCAAACCCGCGGACCGATCTCCAGGATCCCGCTTTGCCTCGCTCGCGTAAGGTGGAAGCCTGTGTCAGCCACTGAGTGGATCGAACAGGATGTCATCACCATCCAGCTCACGCAATGCTCCCCTGCGATGCTAGGTAAAATGCTCAGCACCGCGTTCCAGGCTGCCCATGAGGAGTCGCCTGGGGAGAAGTGGGGGTTTGCTGAAGGAGTTAGGGCCAACCTGGACGTGGTCAGGTCTTGCCTCAGGTCCAAGACTAAGTATAACAAGTACCAGAAATATTTAGTTCAAGCTGCTGTCTGCGACTGTTTGTGGACGGAACAGCTTGCACATGACAATGGTTATGTCACTCTTCGAGCCGGCCGATGTGAATGCGGCGAGCCTGACACCACCCATCATCGGCTTTTTTGCTGCCAGCTCCCAGCTGTAGCCCAGGCCCGCGGGGAGGCGGAAGTGCCTCTGACTTCCCTGCACGAAGCTCGGGAGGACCCTGGAAGTTTACTCCATTTGAAAGGTGTCGTCTCGGTGCTCCCAGGGGACATCCCTCTTGTCAAAGGGGCCCCCGAGGCCATGGTCCTGGACGGTCTTGGGGAGGCTTTTCCCGATCTGGAGCCCGAGAAGTCTGTGCAATTTGTCGGTCATAGCGATAACCTTCATATCGCGGTGGACGGAAGCAGCACCATGCCGATTTTGTCTTGTTTTCAGCGTGCTGCGTATGCGGTAGTTCTGTTTGACCCCCAGGCCGAGGCTACCCTTTCGGTAGTGCGTGGCACTGTGCCTGGAGGTTTTCCGCAGTCCCCCGCGATGGCTGAAAATTTCTCGATTGCTGTCGCCTGCCAGATCGCTGATCGCAGTTCCTACATGCATGCCGATTGTAAAGCAGCCATAAGTCAGGCCCTCCTTCCTGAGCACGAACAGCTTCGTGCGAGCAAGGTGTTTGCTGGCGTATCGGCCTTCGCCCGTTCCCTCAGTGGACACGGCCACATCAGGTCCATCCAGCATGTCAAAGCGCATCGAAGTGAGGGCGTGATAGATAATTTGCCACTTGTGGAGCGGGCGCCTGCGAAAGGTAACCGTGCTGCTGACCTCCACGCCAAGGAGGCTCTTAAGATGCACGCTCCCATCGGACCCGAGGCAGCCAATCGCCTAGAGTCTGAAGTAGAGACCGCCAGGTATTTTGTCAAACTTGCAGCTAGTGTGCTACCAGCCTTCCAGTCCCGAGCGAAGCGCGTCAGGCCCTTTGCCCGTCACCGTTCTGTAAAGTCAGCTCCTGGGTGGCATGAGTGGGAGAGTGGATTGCTTGGTATGCAGTGCAAGCATTGTCTGGTGGTCGCCCACGAGGGTACCCCCCAAGAGGCTCTGGGATGCTCTGGGGCCCCCGATTTCGTTCGTCAGGTCGTCCGCCGTTCCCTGGGGCACCTGATTGTTGGTGTGGCCTCTCACGAGATCCACCCCTGAGCCCCAGAGCCATCGCAAGCCAAGTTGAGTAGGCTACAGTTTCTGTGCGTTCGTTGCGGCTGCTGGGCCCAGAGGTGCTCCCGTAATCTTGACAAGGAGTGCCAACGACCCTCTAGGAAGGGACGCGAGGTACTAAGTAAGTACTCGCGAGGCCTGGGCCCCAGTAGTCGTGTCCGTCAATTGATTGATAGAGCTGCTGCGGTCACTGCAATGTCTGTGGTCCCCAAGCCGCGGTCTAAGACTCTTGCCTGTACGTCTGTTCCCTCGGCCCACTCGAGTGCCCCCACCGTCCCTGAGTACGAGAGACGGATGGCCGCCCTTGCTGAGCGAGTGCGAGCCAAGGAGGCCCTCCAGGCTGAGGAGTAGTCTTGGGTCGTGGCACCCCGTCGCGGGCCCTGGTCAGAGTGTGGGGAGCTCTGTCCTCCAGGGTAACAAATCCCTCTCCGAAGGGTGCCACTTCCCCCCATTGTTTGTTTTAGTCTTGCGAGACTCTTCCCCTCGGGGCTTTCCTGACCTAACCTCCTCCTCCTCCTCCTCCTCCTCCTCCTCCTCCTCCTCCTCCTCCTGCATGGCAACGGAGATGGGGAGGCATGTTCACGGCGCCTCGGGATCTTCGCCCGGGCAGGATCCCGAAGACCCCTCGGGCCGCCTCTTGGCACGAACCCCCTGGCTGGGGAGGGATGTGTGGTCTGAGCGTGGATGGGCCCGGCAGAAGCAGCACGTGCTTTCTGGATGCTTCTCGGTCCGTCCACACGGCGCGCAGCGGGGGGGGGACGCGAGGGGGGGCGGCCGTCCTTCTGAGAGGGTAGGGCTCCTTGGGCCCCCCTGCCTTTTCGGAAGCCTGCCGAGAGGCCTCCGACCCCTTCTGAGAGGCCCCTGCGCTCTGAGAAGGCCGCCCCCCTCGCCACAGCCACGCAAAGCCACACACACACACAAACAAACAAACAAACAAACCAAACACACGCAAACACACACACACACACACGCACACGCACACTTTTTGGTCGGCGGGTCGAGAGCGGGCCTCTTCCGGTTAAGAGCTAGGCGGGGCGCGCGAAGCACTAATTGGGGAGAGGGCGCGGGCGGGCGGGGCCTCAGGCGGCCAGAGGGTGCGGAGTACAGGCGGTGCCGAAGAGCTTGCATAGGAAAAGGTACGCCTTGGACAGGGGCCGGGGGCGAAGTCCCGGAGGGAGAGCGAAGTGGTGTTGCCGTCAACGGCGCGTCAGAATCACCCACACACGCACACATACGCACACACGCACACACGCACACGCACACGCACACGCACACGCACACACACACACACCTACGCTTGCGCACATACACCTACACATTCACACACGCTTCTTCCGATGCGCTGATGACTGCAGTCAGCGGGCAACGTCAGCAAAGGCGGGATGCACGCGAAGCAGGTATGCCACCTCGCGGGGCAGCGCGTACAGAGTCGGCAACTTCGGTGCAGTCCGGGCGGGACGACGCACGAGCAGCAAAGACGGGGCGGTGCAGGAAGAGGAGGCGCGAGGAGGAAGCGAGAGCTAAGACAGGCAGCCGGGGAGGGAGGGGGGCGGAGGAACGCGAGGTTGCACGGCGAGGAGCACCGGGCGGGCGGGAGAGGGGGAGAGGGGAAGGGGGCCCAGCCAGGTGCGCTCGCGTTCTATCTCACGCCCTGCCCCTCCCTCCCATCCCCTGCCATGGCGCAGATCTCCTCTCTGCTCGCACCATCGGATGTCGCAGCATGGCACAGCATTACACCTGGCACAGCACGATGTTGAAGAGATCACGCAGCATGACACAGCAGAGCGAAGCGGGGCAGCAGAGGCCGCCGAGCAGCGACCGGGCTCGGGCTCGCGCGGCCAGCAGAGGCGGGGCGCGCAACGAGGGGCGAGGCGGCGCAGCGCCGCAAAGCCGGCCGCGGGGCACCGGCCGCACGGCTGCGGCGCAGCAGCGGGAGCGGGCCCAGCACGGGAAGGGCAGCGAGCGCCGCTTGGGGGGGGCCAGGGGGGGAGAGGCGGGCGCGGCCGAGCCGCGCCCGAGCTGGGCCCGGGGGCGCACCCGAGAACGACCCGCCGAAGTTGCGACGAGCAGCTGAGAAACGACGCCACGGCACGGCACGCCCCCCCCCCCCCCCTCGAAGGAGCACGGAAAGGTACCCACACCGCTACCCTTCCCGCGTGTGCCTCTTGTTGGGGCCTCCTGGGAGGCCCCGCTGGATTCGCCTCGAAGTCCTGGTCAGAACGCGCCCCAGGAGAGGTCCGAGGAGTAGCGGCATCGGTACCTCGTGGCTTCCCTCCAAAAGCGCCCCACGCCGACGCGTGAGCACGGCAGAGGAGAGGGGCCGGGGAGGAGGAGGCGAGGCAGAGGGAGAGGGCGGCGAGCTGGCTGGGGCGCCCAGCGGCACGGGGCCGAGCCCACAGCCGACGGGCGGCAGGCTGCAGCCGCGCCCGCAGCGCGCCGGGGAGCGGCGGCGCAGGGCGCCCCGGCGTCCCCCAGCCAACGGCCCATATGGCCGCTGGTCGCACGCACGCGCACGAACACACACACACACACACACACTTTTGATCTGCGGGGCGAGAGCGAACCTCTTCCGCTCAAAGCTAGGCGGGCCACGCCCAGCTTTGATTAGGGAGACAGGGCACAGGAAGGCGGGGCCTCGATGGCCAGGAGCCCCACACACACACACACACACACACACACACACACACACACACACACACACACACACGCACAAACACAAACACACGTTTTTTTTTGTTGCGTCGCGACTCTGCGCTCGGCGACAGGGCGGAGAAAGTCTTGAAACAGCAAGCAAGCAAGCGTCTAAGTGCGCCCGAACCCTCAGAGACCGCTAGGGGTCCCACAGCGGTCGGCCGCAAAAAGCCATCGGGGCGTGGATGACAGGGGGAGCGTTGGAAGGACGAGGCTACGGTGCACACACACACACACACACGCACACACACGCACACACACACGCACACACCCTGGCGTGCCGCCAGCATGTACCGCGAACCGTGATCTCGATCAGGCGATGTGGGCGCGGGGATCTACTCTCGACGTCGGCGCTTCTCGCAGAGGCGACAGCGGGGAGCACGAGGCTCCAGATCCAGTCGAGATCGGCGCCCTCCCCCCGCGACGCCGACCGCAGCCGGCCAGCGCCCCCCCTCGCGGCCCCGGCGCTCCGCCGGTGGCCGCCGCCCGAGCCGCTCGGCCGATCTCCTCTCGCCCTCCTTCCAGTGGCGCGCCCGGCGCGGGCGCCGGCGAGCCAGGTCGCCGCTGCACGCGAGGTCGCCCTTCTTCTCGCAGGCCGCGCATCCCTTCGGCCTGCCCTCGCCGTCGAGGCGCCCCGCGCCCCCCATGCGTCAGGAGTGGAAAAAAAAACACGCGGGGACAGAGGATCGTCGATGACCCAGAAGAGATTGGAACATATGGGAAGTGGGGAGGGAAGACAAAAACCCAGAAGGTATGGGAAAAGATGGGGAATCCTTTGATTTGTGTCTATTCGTGTGTGTGTGTGTGCGTGTGTGTGTGTGTGCGTGTGTGTGTGTGTGTGTGCGTGTGTGCGTGTGTGCGTGTGCGTGTGCGTATGTGTGTGTATGTGCGTGTTTGCGTGTGTGTGTATGTGTGTGTGCGTGTGCGTGTCCTTCCAAGGCCCCTTCAATGCTGCCCCCTCCCCCCCCCCGGGGCGCCGCTGGCCCGTCGGCAAACGACGTAATTACCGAAGCCGATGCCCTTCCTGCGAATTGTAAGCCGGGCCTGTCCCTCTGCAGGAGGAATGTTCAACGTGAGCCAAAAAATAGTCGGGGGGCGATTCTTCCAGCATGTTCAGAACTATTGTTGGGCATCTGTTGGCTATGTCTGTTTCTTCGTCCACAGTCCGCCTGGAGGGGGACGTGCCCGACCTCATGCGACTTGCTCCCGTGGGCGCCTCCCAGAGGGGGCCCTCGTCGCCGCGGCTGGCTTCGCCCTGTGGGGTCCTGGTCAGCGCGCACCGCGGGAGGGAGATCCGCAGTCTAGCGCTGTAGTCAGGAGGGGAAAAAACACACAGACACAATCAATCGTCGATCCCCAGGAAGATATGGGAAAATATGGGAAGTGGTGAGGAAGACAAAAACCCAGAACATGTGGGAAAATATCGGGCATCTGTTTATTTGTGTGTATTTATTTGTGTGTCCCAGTTTCCCTTCACATAGGTGGGGTCCGTTTTAGACGGGGTCGGAGGACCGCGCCGCAGCGTCGATGCATCGGCGATGCGGCGCGACGTGGGGCCCGATGCTCTCCACGCCGGCGTCGCCGACGCACCGCCGGCGTCGCCGACGCACCGCCGGCGTCGCCGACGCATCGGCGACGCGGCGCGATCCGCCGACCCCATCTAGTCGGACCCCATCCGAGAGGCCTCTAATGGCGGCGCTGGCATCTTCCGGGCCCCGGAAAACAGGACACTGAAAGCATGGGCGTGGCAAGACCCAGCCGAGGCTTCCAAGGAATGGAGGTCGTTTCGACCCACAGGTATTTTTGGATTGTCTTTAATTCTTTACGCTTCGCGTATCCCCACCAGCCCATCTCACAACAGCAACGCTTGCGAAGCATGCCGACAGTCGTGTTTTTCAGGCGTGTGTCCGCTTGGCCCCGCATATCTCCCCTGTTCCTCCTTCCTCCCTCCTCCTTGTACATCCTCCTTGTGGGGGGAGCGGGAGAAGGACGAGGCGGAGGAGGAGGGAGAGAAAGCGCTCCTCGTGGTTGGAGTCGTTTGGGGTTTCTCGTCCTTGTGTGAGTCGTTCGGGCCCTTCTTCCTGGTGTGAGTCGTTCGGGCTCTTCGTGGTGTGAGTCGTTCGGGCTCTTCGTCCTGGTGTGAGTCGTTCGGGCTTCTCGTGGTGTGAGTTGTTCGGGCCCCTCGTCCTGGTGTGAGTCGTTCGGGCCCCTCCTCCTGGTGTGACTCGTTCGGGCTCCTCGTGGTGTGAGTCGTTCGGGGCCCTCGTCGTGGTGTGAGTCGTTCGGGCTCCTCGTGGTGTGAGTCGTTCGGGCGCCTCGTCCTGGTGTGAGTCGTTCGGGCCCCTCCTTCTGGTGTGAGTCGTTCGGGCTCTTCGTGGTGTGAGTCGTTCGGGCCCCTCGTCCTGGTGTGAGTCGTTCGGGCTCCTCGTGGCGTGAGGCGTTCGGGCGCCTCGTCCCCTTGTGGGGCGGCTTGGGGGCCTCTTGGCGGCCCCAGGGGCTTCTAGGAGCGTCTTGGGTGCCTTGGGGGAGCCTCTTCGGGCCTCTTGGGAGCCCCTTGGAGACCGTTTGGGGCGTCTTGGGGGCCTCTTGGGGGGCCCAGGGGCTTTCAGGAGCGTCTTGGGTGCCTCGGGGGAGCCTCTTGGGGCCTCTTGGGTGCCTCTTGGGGGCATCTTGGGGCCCCCTTGGAGGCGTCTTGGGGGCCTCCTGGGGGCCTCTTGGGGCCATCTTGGGGCCTCTTGGTGCCTCCTGGGCGCTTCTTGGGGGCATCTTGGAGGGAATGGATCAAAGAAGAGGGGAGCTTTAATGAGCGCTGCCCCCT